TGTTGAATTGCCTTAGTTAACCAACTATCTCCAATATTTGAGCATCTCACTATCTTGCTTAATTGCAAGTTTTTAGTTATTCAAGTCTTTTAGTTTTCAAGTAATCAAACACCCACCCTTTTTAGTTTAATTGTAGTTATTTAGTTTATTTACAATAGTTCTTTTAGATTGCATTGGTGATTGAATACAACCATTTCCCCGAGGATCGATACCCCTTTTTACCATTATATTATGTTTATTTAGCAATCAAAGGGTGTAATTTTCTTGGTGGACTTGACATCCCACTAAGTTTTGGCGCTGTTGCCAGGGAGATTGGTTATTGTTATTTGCTTTTTTATGCCTAGGTCTACAAGAACCGGTGAACTTCTCTACATTTCGGAAATTGAAAAAGAAGCAAAAAGGTTGAAAAAGTTAGCCAAACAAGCAAAGCAACAACAACTTGTTTAAGCTTCTTCCTCTTCTCCACTAATCAACATAGAAGATCAAGTTCATACTTCAAGTGATACTGACACCAAACCGAATTCTCCAATTGTTGGTCAATCCCTTGAAGACATCCCGCTTGAAAACTACATAGCCATGAATCATACTCCACCTCACAATCCCAACCCAAAACCAAACAATCAAGATGCCAATACCCCACCCCAACAACCAAGACAAAAACAACAAGAACCTCTCATTGATGTGTCACCTTGGAATCAATCCCCTCCTAAAAACCAACCCAATTATTAACCCCGACAACTACACAACCAACACTTCCACCAAAACAACCAACCTCAAAACAATGCTTTTCAAGTTCAACAACAAGTACATTACCCAAATCAACCCAATTACCAACCCCCTCAAATGTACCAATACCAAATGTACCCACAACAACAACCCCTACAACCAATATCCTAATTACTAAGCTTATCCACCACCAATTTACAATCATAACCAATACCCTTACCCACCTTATCATCAACCACCCAATTACTTGCAACAATATCCCAATAACCCCAATCAACCCAATCCCCCTCAAGAGTTGACACTTAGACAAATGATGGAAACGGATGTTACTCACACACCTCTTGCTATTGTTTATCCCGCAAACCGCCGATGGATTGAATTGAAGTCAAGTTTCATCCATCAACTAACCAAATTCCATGGGTTGGATAGAGGAAGATCCTCAAAAGCATTTAAAGTCCTTTCATATGATATGTGTTAACATGTTTCCCGACAATGTGACATTGGATGATTTCAAGTTAATCGCATTCCCGCTTACCTTGGAAGACAAAGCTAGAGAGTGGTTGTTCAACTTACCACCGGGATCAATTCACACATGGGAAGAGTTACTCAAGACCTTTAATAGCAAATTCTATCTCACCTCCCGCATTTCAAGTCAAATAAGTGACATTTTGGGGATTCGTCAAGGGGAAAATGAAACATTTCATGATTTTTGGGAGCGCTTCAACAATTTGTGTACAAGTTATCCTCAACACAATATACCCGGACAACTACTTCTTCAACAATTTTATGAGGGTATGAATGAAAAAGATCGAAGGATGATTGATGCTTCAAGTGGTGGTGACATCTTTAACAAAACCCCTCACGAGATCCGATTACTTTTTGGTACCATTTCTCAAAATCAAAGGAATTTTGGGACTCAAAATGACATGAAGAGAAATTCTACACAAGTGGTTGGTGAAGTTAGCAACACTCAACACTTGGAATCAAAGCTCTTGGATTTGACCAATGTGTTCAGTCAAATAGTGGTGGGAAGTGGTCAACAATTGATGGTATGTGGTATTTGTGCAATGACGGGCCATTATACGGATAAGTGTCCCACACTTGGAAGTGAACCGGAAGATGTGAATGCAATGGCCGGATATCAAGGTCAATAGAGATCCATGGGATTTCAAAACAATTTCAACCCAAATTGGAGGAATAACCAACACAATCCATATCCACCAAAGCAAAACCCACCAAATATTTTGATGAGACCTCAACATCCACAATACACCTCTTAAAAACCTCCATATCCACAACCTTTTTTTACACCCTCCAAACTACCAATAACGTCCACAACAAGGCCAATCAAGTGGTAACCATCAAATGAGCCTTCAAGAACTTGTTACTTCTCTTGCTCAAGGTCAAACCCAATTTCAACAAGAAACCAAGAACACCTTCTCCAACATTCAAGCACAAATTGGAGACTTGGTCACCGCTCTCAACAGGATGGAACAAAGGGGTAAACTTCCATATCAAACTGAGAAGAACCCTAATGTGAGTGCAATCACGTTGCAAAGTGGGAAAACACTTGGAGAAAGTCAACCTAAAAGAGTTTCAAGAGAAGACGAAGATGAAGTGATCATTGTGGAATCTCCAAAAGTCGTAGTTCCTCCAAAGGAAGCGGTTGTGACAAATGTTGATCAACCCGATCCTTCCAACAAACCCATCAAACCATTGGTCATACCACCACCTTTTCCATCCCGATTGGCTTCCTCAAAGAAACAAGAAGAAGAGAAAGAGTTTCTTGAGACTTTCCGCAAGGTTCAACTCAACATTTCACTATTGGATGCCATTAAGCAAATCCCACGTTATGCCAAATTTCTTAAGGATTTGTGCACCAACAAGAGAAAATTCAAGACAAATAAGAAGATTCAAGTAAATGCAAATGTATTCACGGTCATCCAAAAGAATCTTCCACCCAAATGCAAAGACCCGGGAATGTTTGCTATACCTTGTACCATTGGTGATTTACATGCTGAAAGTGCCATGCTAGATCTTGGAGCCTCAATCAATGTCATGCCATACTCGGTTTTTCAATTTCTCAATGTTGGAGATTTGGAAGAAACCGGAGTAATCATTCAATTAGTAGACAAGTCAAGTGTATCTCTAAGAGGAGTGTTGGAGGATGTGTTAGTACAATTTAATCAAATTGTTTTGCCGGCGAATTTTTATGTCACTGATCTTGAAGATAAGACTCCTTCCAAATCATCTATGATCCTCCTGGGAAGACCTTTCTTGAATACCGCTCATACGATAATCGATGTCCATAATGGGAAGATCACCATGGAGTTCGATGGAGAGACCATTCACTTTAACATCTTTGAAGCAATGAGGTATCCTAGCAATACTTCTCCATTGTATCGGGTTGATGTGATTGAGCCAATAAATGGGATAAGCCCTAATGTATGCACAAACAAGATACTTATGGAAGATGATTGTAAGCCTAAGAGGGAAGCTAAAAAAATGAATTTGGTAACTTTGAGTTTATATTGGCATTGGTAATTTGGTATGGAATGTTAAATACTATTAATTTAGTTAGCAGACAACTCTAATCAAAAGATATGCTTATTGATGTTGCCTTGGAAATGGGCTTCGATCTAATATTTCCTAAAAAACGTGAACCTAAAAGAAAAAATATATATTTTGATGAGATTTCAACTAATACTTCTTGCACTGTTTCACAATCTGCCCAAAAGAAATTTAGAGTTAAATATTTTATTTATATTGTTGTTCAAGAAACTACTTTTTTAACTACAAGAATATCAGCAATATAATAAAATATTTGGTTTTCTGTTCAATTCAGAAAAATTACTTTAATTAGATGATATAATCTTTAAGTCTTGTTGTAAGTCCCTTGAAGCTACACTCAAGTAGATGAGCAATCAAATATTGATGGAAATGACTTGTATGTTTAGTTAAAATTACTTCTACATCTCTTACCAAAAAGAAAAAATGATTGCAATTGATATTCTAAACTGTTTTAAAACGTGTTGATTGTTTTCCTAATACATCTATTGCATACAGAATTATGTTGACTATTCATGTTACTGTTGCATCTTGCAGAATGGAGATTTTCAAAATTGAAGATTATGAACTCATATTTACAATCTACAATGACTCAAAAACGACTTAATAGATTGGATTTGATGACGATTGAGCGTAACATGTTGGATAAAGTTACTTTTAAAGATGTTATTGAGAAGTTTATTTCAACGAATATTAGGAGGATGGCTATTTTCAAGTATAAGCCAATTTGTTTTGTGTATTATTTTGAATAAAATGTTAATTTTATGTTTTTGCAATAGAAAATTAATATATATATATATGTTGTGACAGGTTATAGGGGGTTTTAGATGCCAGATGGTGGATCTGCCCTGAGAGCTTTCCTGAGAACACAACACATAGAAGAATTGTTAAGGACGTCCGGGTGTTCTTTCGCGACGCCGGTATGACGATCATGTTAGATTCCTGAGATAGGTAATTTTCTTTTTGAGAGAGAAGATGCGATTCCTTCCTTGAGGCGGAAGAGATCCTTTTAATACCTGCCTCTAGCAGATCGTGGGGACCTCGTCCGATGAGTGCAAAACATAGCCTCCTATGACTGGCATAATCAAGCCCACGTTAATTAACTGCCTGGTGACATCATCTCTGAGCGTCACCTATGCTTTTTGTCACGCCCTGATTGGTGATGAGTATATTGCGGGGGATATACGTCCCTCTTGGAGGGAAACAAATTGCTGCCCCTGTGTTAGACTGCCTTGGCCAGGACCGAGGCTTGGCCAAAGTCCTGATGAGATAACGTCTCGTTTATGATGTCTGTTACATTTAACGAGACAATTTATGGTAACGTTAACAAGTCCCTTAGACCAATAGGCTTCTACGTTCGTGATATAGCAGAGTCGTTCTGGGCTATTTACAGGCACGTGGAGGACTGCTATTGGCAGCTTGTACAGCTGGCAGGAAGAAATCGCTGCTTGTTCGGCTATTTCATCATGAATACGATTCGATGCCCCTTTTTATGGTATTTAAGGCTCTGTTCTCCCTGGCGTTTCCTTCCTACCTTCAACTTTTTTCTGTTTGACTTCTTGTTCTTGAGTAAAAACTCTTTCAGTCCCTTTTTCATATTTTTCATGGCTGCCACTCTCGTTTTGGGGAGAGATCTAACCACCAAAGAGTAGGAGTCTTTTGAGTTTCAGTTTGGGTTCATTCCCAAACACGGAGTGCAAATCCCTATGCCCAATGCTTCACTCTACAGTCCACCTGAGGGCAAAGTTGGCATCCTATTCACCTTGTTCGAGGCAGTTCCACGCTTGCCCAACACTGATTTCTGCAACCTGATCATCCGTGAATACGGGTTTTCGATGAGAGAATTGACCCCTACCATTATAAACAAGATAATGGGCTTCGAACTACTCTGCTGTGCTTTGGGCCGCCTGTCGACTATTCCAAGTTGCAAGGACTTCTTTATTGCCTTTATCCAGTCAGAGACTCGAACCCTCTCCCAACGGCGGGGAGTCCCTACTATTGTCCATGATAATAAATCAAAGACGAATTGGTAGGAGAAGTTCTTGAGCGTGAACAACGATCTTGTGGTGCTCAGTTATCCGAGGGCTATAGTGTATGTTGATCGTGCTCCAACACTTTTTGGTGCTGACAAGGAGTTGGCTGATGTGCTTGAGATGACCATCATCAACGGTGAAGATTTTTTGGATTGCTTCTTGGCTGCCGGCGGAATGAGCGACGCTTGGAGAGCACGTGGATGGATGCCAAAGTTTTTTTTGTTGAGAAACAGGGTATTTATCTTGCTCCTCTCCCCCCTCCTTTTTTTGAAAATTTTGGAAAGCCCATTTAAATCATAATTCTATTTTACCGTCGTTATCTATTGCTTTGTTTCCATGTGTGAAGGAAGTCGTTCCTTTAGAGAGAGTGCTTCAGGGTCAGTTCAGTGATGAGCTTCAGTGTCGTGATGTTGATTTTGTGGAAGCTCTTCCACCCCATGTTTTCGGATGAGGAATCGAGGCAACTATTGGTTCTGACAGTGCCACTAGCACCGATGATGAACTAGATTTGTAGGACATTGTTGTCACCGGTGCTTCTCAGAAGGATCCTACACCTTTCGTGTCTCCAAGGAGTCTTAATTGTATCAAGAGGCATTTTGCTTTCCTGGAAGCCTCTTGCAGCGGTCGAGCCGAGTTAGTCGGATCCATTCCTCCTCTTCGTAAAAAACACAATCTGAGTTTGTTACTGGAGGGTACCAAGGATTCCACCCGTGCCCCCAATGAAGGTCCTCTGAAACTGCCAGAGGGGGCACAAACAGGGGTAACTGAACCTCCCTGTCATATGGGAGAAAAAGGTAGCGAGAAAACCATCCCTCTTCCCATAACTAGGGGGAGGCGGAGATTGGGTCTTCGTTACCCCATGTTATTGTTTCAAATTCTTCTGGTAAAACCGCAACTACCCCCTTATGGTGAGTTCCCATACGGATTCCTATAGCTAGTCTGGAGACTAACTACTCTACATCTTGTCTTCGACCATGCCACTACTCTCGAGTAGTGTCAACGTGTATTTCCTCCTGCCACAATTGAGGCCCTGACTATCCTATCCGACGAGCATATGTACGATGGCTTGCGCTACGCTGCCACCCAAGCGTCATCTTATTTGGTCGTAGCCGCCGAAAGTATCTCCAAAATGGAGACGCTCCAGTCTGATTCTGACAGGAGGGGCATTGAGTGTGAGGAGATGAAGGCCCAGGTGGCAAAGTTAGAAGCTGAAAAGAGCAACTTGGAGGCTAGGCATGAGGTGTTGCTGCTCGAGAAGGAAAGCTTGGCGGATCAAGCTGCAAAGCTGAAGGAAGAGGTAGGGCGCCTGAATGATCGTGTGGGGGTCCTGACATGGGAGAACTCCAGTCTGAGCTGTCAGACGGCGGAACTGGAGGTTAGTTTGGTTGCTGAGAATGCCGCAAGAGGAGCGTTGGAAAAGGATATATCTTGAATCCTCAAGGATGGGCTCGACCTAGTGGTGGATCGGTTAATCGAGAGCCCCGAGTTCCTCGAGGGTTTGGTGTAGGTGTAGGTGGCTTGTGTAGCGGTGAGCAGGGGGAGAAGGATGGTAAAGAGCTAGTGATTGCCAGGGAATTTAGCCCAAAAGTGGAGGTGAACGCGGCCACGAAGGTTCACGAGATGGAAGATGCCGTGGTTGATTTTACTGAGACAGACTACCTTGGCTATCTTCGCCTGGATGATTTGGATATGGCTGGGATTTGTGACCTTTTCCAAGACACTTAGGGCGATGGATCAGTCCATAGCCCCAACACTTCCCCTGGGGATGGTAACACTTGCGCCCACGGGTAGCATTGTTTCTTTGATTTGTTGTGATGTAATGTCAGTGAACAATTTTCTATTTCTTGTTTTGTTATTTTTTTCCTATGCTGCCCTCATGGTGGCTTGTAATTCTGGGAGTCCAGCAACATGACAATTGTACTTTATATTTGTGGGTATGAATGTTTGTTGTCTCGATATATATTCTTTTTTTAGTTGCTTCATGTATGGTTTATGTTGGCCAACACATGGTATTTACGTAGGGATTGCTTGCACCCCTGGTTTGAGTTATGTTATTGGCGAACTCTTTATGTTTTACCAAAGCTGGTCTTTTTTTAAATTTGTTCTAATTTGCTGCTTAAAGACCTAAGGTGTAGCCAAGATCGTCATCTTGAGGCTCACCTAATTATGCTTTTTTGTTTTATTGGTGGAAGGTTATGATGCTTCTACACTCATGTCACATGTTCTTTTGTGTGTTTATTCTGATGTGAATGATCAACATGCTTTGGGAGGAAGGTTATGAGCCTTCTATGTGAAAACTCGTTGGTTGCCTCCATGTAACGATTTCGCTCTTGTGACATTGGATGATCAGTCCTTGTTGTCACACGGTAAATGTACACAACCTCTTTGTTTTGTTTTTCAAGCTTGAAAATAAGGTGCGTCTGATTTGTCCTTTCTGTTTACTCTAGTTTTGGTTAGAGTATAATAAAATTGAAATTAGTAAAGTAATACTTGTTGGTTACATTCACATGTTGAAATTAATACACAATGCCTTTGTTAGCACTGATTCTACCTTTAACACTCGATTTAAGAGTAAAAGTGTCGCATGCTCTATGCGTTCCAAGTTCTTGGAATGGTACGCCCGTCTTGAGCTTCTAGGACATATGCACCATTCTTATGGGCTTCCACAATTTTGTATGGTCCTTCCCACGTGACACTAAGTTTCCTAAATGGTTCAGCATGGCTAGACTCGTTCTTTCTTAGTACCCATTCTCCAAATTTGAAGTTCTTAACCCGTACCTGGCGGTTATAATAGTTTTCAGTTCGTGATATGTATAGTGCCTGGCGCACTTATGCCGCCTCACATTTTTCGTCCAGCATGTTCAAGTCCTGGCATCGCCCTTCTTTGTTGGCCGCTTCCTTGAAACTATCCGTTCACAAGGAGCATGCCACTATCTCTAGGGGAGGACTGATTCTATCCTATAATTTAGGCTAAATAGGGTTTTCCCTGTACTTGGCCTTGCTGTGGTACGCTACGACCACAACACAGTCAGGAGTTCATGCATCCAAGCGAACTTTGACCCGAGTAATATTTTTTTTCAAACCATTGATGATGGTCTTGTTTGATATATCGGTTTGTCCGTTGGCTTGAGGATGCACTACTGATGTGAACCAGCGATGGATTCTCTTATCTTCACACCACTCCTTGAAGGGATTGCCTTCAAATTGAGTGTCGGATCACTTATGAGGATCTTAGGGGTGCCAAAACGGGCCAGGATGTTCTTGGTTATAAATTTTATCATCTGCATGCTAGTGACGGTGGCCAGTGGTTCCGCCTCTATCCATTTGGTAAAATAATCCACAACAACCAATAAAAACCTTACGCCCCCGGGTGCTAGTGGAAACGTTCCTACCATATCGATACCCCATTGATGGAAAGGCTAGGGTCTAGTGATGCTGTTAATGATATGGACGGTTGGTTTTGGAAGGGAGTGAATGCTTGGCACTCTTTGCATTTCTTTGTTAGGGCTACGACATTGTTGTACACATTCTGCTAATATACTCCTAGGAGAAGTATCTTTCCCATGAGTGCGTGAGAGCTTTCGTGTGCCGCTGCATCCCCAAAATGGCTTTCCTCGAGGAACACCGACTCCTTTGTTTTAGAGATGCACTTGAGCCATGGTTTCACCCCCAAATCGGAACAACGGAAACGTTCGGAGGTGGATGACGACATGTACAATATCATAACAATTGAATAATAGTAATCAAAGAAACACAGCCGTCATATTTAAAATATATACTTTACATTGTGTTTGAAACATTATTTGTTTAACATCAAAACTATAGCAGAAACTAAGACGTGATGCTACTATGCTCCGTCTCCGTGAAACCTGTGTGGGTACCTGTCTACTAATTTCCTGAGAATACAAGAGGTTTGAAAAAGTGTCAACATTTAAGTTGGTGAGTTCCTAAGCATTTTGTACGTAAATATATGTCTTTTACTCCTTGAAAACATTAGTGTGTTCATCTAGAAAATCCAATATTTTCTATAAAACGAGTTGTAGTCTTAATACCTTAAGACCAAAATCTATAAGTTTCTTATGCTTAAAATCTATAATACGAAGTTCTAATTTATGTAAGTGGTGTGACCCACACTACTTCCTCCTATGATCACTTAGTGTTTACAAGTTATGTATAATGAAAATCGAACGAACAGTTGAATGTCTGATTCTACCCTAGGCCCACAACCAAACAAGGAACATGATCTGAGGCAGAATCACACATTCTAGTGCCTATAGGGTTTTAGTTAGATATAATCCTAACGAATACACAAAGAAATCATAGAGTTAACAATAATGGTCCTTTCCGAAATGTAAGTTGCACTATACTAGAAGAATAGTGTATTGTAGTCTTATTGTTAAAGTTAAACTGTTGAAGATGTGTTTATCACTAAAACCAAAATGTTTAGTTAATGCTTATTGTGAAAGTTAATATATCTATGTAAAATAAACTTATGAATTTTTAATAGTAACCACCCTCAAATGTTTCGTGGTTTGATTTACTATTACTAGTTGCGACAAAAGAGGCGACAAACCTAACACATAGTTGATGGGTTTTGAGCGTTCTAACACTTCCTAAGTGTACATGAAACCCTAATAACCTTGGATCTATGTTTGTCTAATTATCATGCAAAGTTGAACTACAAGGTTATATTCCTATCTAGCATACATGGGGAACAATTTTTAACTTAAATGAAAGATAGAATAACTTACCTTGTTGTTACTTATGTTCCTTGAAACCTTGTGAGCCTAGCACCCCAAGTGTGATGCCTCAAATGCTTCACACAACACCAAATGCTCTTGGAAAGACTTTTGAGAGAATACACACTTCTTGAAATCGGCCTAGCCCTCTTGTTTCATATATGTAGCCGATTTTGGTGGAGAATAAGATTCTTATATAGTGTTGACACATCTAGGGTTACACCATGTAAACCCTAATGTGTCATGACTCTTCATTTCCATGACCCATGGGTTTGTAACTCCCATGGAGCATCCTATGGGTGGAACCCAACTTGATAATCCATGGAGCCTCTTAGCCCACTATACAAGATATGGATGATTTACATAATCAACCCATATATTTAATTAGTTATCTTTTGATCACTTAATTAATTCTAAATTAATTCTTGATCAAACTAATCAAATAATATTATTAATATATTAGAACTTATAATATATTAATAATCTCCAAGTGTTATTTCTCTCATTTAGTCTATCCAATTGCATGGTGCCATGCAACCCAAATGGACCATGCCGGGTCGGGTCAAGTACATACCAGAAATAGTTATGGACTTAGACACCTTATCCAACAGTCTCCCACTTGGATAAGTCTAATAACTATTACTGCAAGTATGACTTCAGGAACCGATCGGCAATCGTAGCTCTTTCAAGGTTTCTCGGAACTGAGAAGATG